GGAAAGTCAAACTTTTTTTTGTTTGATCGTATTTGTGCAATAATAGATCAAAATTTATGCCATCAAATTAGTAGTATTAGATTCATGCTAAAATATATTTTCGTCATATACCTATTTGATTTCACAAGCATTCATATTTTTTTGCACAAATTCAGTTAAACTTTGAGATAGTTTGACCCTCTAACAAAATGTGAAGTACACTCTTTTAAAAACGGATGAAGTATGAGAGATGGGAGGCTCTCTTTTCGTGCAAAACGAGGACTTCATTGGCATCCAACATGTTTTGTCCTCCAAGCACGCTAATCTGAGGTAAAGTAGAATGCTTGGCAGCTGTTATCCTTGCTGCTGTCGACTTTTACGGTAGTGGCGCACCGGCACATTGACATCGGCGTCCCTGTTCAGCACGTACGACCTGTCTGCCATTCTTCTAGCTTTGCACTCTGCTCCAGCTCCGTTCCTCAAATCCTTGAGCCTGTACGTGTAAGAGAGGTCGGCGTGGCCGGCGTCTGGCGTGGGAAGGTGCTCATGGCGTCTGCCGAGGACAGCAGCCGCTGCACATGCTATTCTTCCCATAGTTCTTCCCATAGCTCATCCCCTGCCACCTCATTCCGATGGCCGACATCGCCACGCTCTTCGCGCCACGCGGCGTCAGGTGCACCATCCTCACCACCCTCGTGCAAGCTTTCACCATCCGCTCCATCGTTGACCTCTCTTCTCTCATATCCAGGTCAAATATGTAGCGGATATGAAGCGCCCGAGCGCGCCGACCTCACGCTGGGCCATCTGACCCCATATATATCCCTCCCGATTCGTTTACCGGATTAAATCCTAGCCACTTCACTCCTCTCCCCTCCACTCCCCTCCACCACACAAACTCCCGTTCGGCAGTCTCCGGCCGTCTTCGGCATGGCGGGCAACCGATCGGAGTCGTTCACCTCCAAATCCATCGACCCCGAACTCATCTCACACGGCCACGAGGGGGAGATGGCCGTTCGGCTTGCGCTCCGCCGCTCCCGGGAGGAGGCCTGCGCCCGACAGCGATCGGACTCCTTCTATTGAGAATCCATTGCATAGGCGGTGTGGTCCGTCTGGCGCCTGAACGCGATGGCGGACGCGCAACCGCTCCGTTGGCGCGCCGAGCATCGGTACGCACCATGGGCATCGTCCGACGAGAAAATGGCACTGCGTGCCCGTCGTGCGAGGCAGCGGGTGCGGGACGCGGCGGCAGCCCTCGCGGCGGTGGACGTCGGCGAGGCGGAGTCACATTTTCCTGCGCCCCGTATGAAGCAGCAATCCGGGCGCCGCAACCGCGTCGTTGTGGATGTTGCTGGCTTATCCCAGGGCGGATCCATCGTCAAGCTGACGTCCACTGACACCACTCGGGTTCTGTGCTCCGACGAGGAAGAGTAAGGCATGGGAGACAGTGGCACCTTGAGTCCCGTGAACCGGCTCATGTCACATGCCCTACTCTATCTTGCCAGGTACCAGACCAACACTCGAAGGGGCGCAACTGGCCGCTGGACATGGACACGGCGGAGCCGTACGAGGTCTGCTTAAAGATCGTTGTGTTGCATGTAATAATATAGATTTGAGGTTTCTAGTTTATGGATCCAGATGAGGAATGCATTATTTGAGATGTCGAAGGGTCGGATTTGTCAAGTTCGAGGTATTAGGCCAACTCCACCGCGCGACCCTATCCTGTCCGCCCCCGTCTGTTTGGGGTAAACGGGACAAACGAGACGGCCCAGCGCGCGGGCGCAAACGGACTTTTGTCCGCTTTGTGTCCGCTTTCGACCCATCCCGGCCCAAAGTTGCGCCCGTTTTGGGGTGAAACGGACAGCGCGCGGACGGGCGGGACGCGCGCGCTTGTCCTCCCCTGGCCCGCCTGTCGGTGGGAGAAACCAACCCCCCCCCCCCA